AGGACCTATTCTAACCCGGATCCCCACGGAAAACACAAGTGAACAATAATCAATTACATATTAAAATGCCATTTTATGAATAGCTATGGTGTCGTCCAACATCTTCAAATTTTGTGTTTAAAATTCAATATTGGAGATTTAGGTATTTTAAATAACAAAGAAAAATCAGTATATGCATTTTTAGCTCACCTGAGCCGAAGGCTCAATTGAGCTTTTCTGATCAAAATTTGTCCGTTGTCTGTCGTTGTTGTCGTTGTCGTCGTCGTCGTAGTCGTTGTCGTTGTCGTTGTTGTAAACTTTTCACATTTTCATCTTCTTCTCAAGAACCACTGGGCCAATTTCAAGCAAACTTGGCACAAAGTATCCTTGGGTAAAAGGGATTCAAGTTTGTTAAAATGAAGGGCCACGCCCTTTTCCAAGGGGAGACAATCATGAATCTGTTAAAAATTAATGGCATTTTTAAAAAATCTTCTTCTCCAGAACCGCTGGGCCAGGAAAGATGAAACTCATGTGGAAGCATCCTCAGGTAGTGTAGATTCAAGTTTGTTCAAATCATGACCCCCCCGGGCAAGGGTGGGGCCAAAATGGCCGACCCAAGTTTTACATAGGAATATATAGGAAAAATCTTTAAAAATCTTCTTCTCCAGAACCACTGGGCCAGGAAAGATGAAACTCATGTGGAATCATCCTCAGGTAGTGTAGATTCAAGTTTGTTCAAATCATGACCCCCGGCCCTGGGGATAGGGTGGGCCCAAATGGCCGACCCAAGTTTTACATAGGGATATATAGGGAAACCTTTTAAAATCTTCTTTTCAAGTACTTCAAAGCTATGATTAGTGATACCCGGGGTATTTATATGGAATCATCCTCAGGTAGTGTAGATTCTAGTTTGTTCAAATGATGAACGCCTGGAAGGGGGAGGGGGGAGTAAATTCAAGCCCGATGTGCTCAGGTGAGCGCTGTGGCCCCTGGGCCTCTTGTTAGCTCTTCTGAGCCAAAGGCTCAAAGAGCTAATGCTATGGCCATTTGTGCGGTGTGAGTTAACTTTTTAGAATATGGGCCATAGCTCAAGAACCCCTTGGCCAATCAGTGTCAAATTTGTCACAGGGTATCCTTGGCCCAAGGGCTACCTTTTGTACTAAAATAAGGGTTGGGACCCTTAAACAAGGGGAGATAATCAGGAAAACAAAACCAAAAATACTGGTTGCTAAAAAATCTTCTTCTCCAGAACCACAAGGCAGATTTTCACCAAACTTACACACAAGGATCAGAATATGTTGAAGATTAAAAATTGTTCAAGGCATGACGCTGGGGCAAAGGGCGTGGTCTCAAGGTCACTTCAAAGTTGACCTAAATTTACAAATAATAAAAACGTTTATATTTTGCTTACTATTAGGACTAGGATCATCAAATCTTGTAAGTTGATGCATCTCAGGACTTCACATCACGTTAACTCAAAAGTAGGTCACGGTGACCTACTTTTTAAATTTTGTAAGCATTTGTTTTCAAATTGATTTGAAGGCATATTTCGGGCACTTTAAGGCCTATGATCATCAAACTTTGTCAGTTGATGCATCTTGGGTCCTTGAACAACGTCAGCTTAAAAGTACGTCACTGTGACCTACTTTTTGAACTTTATGACTAATTCTTTTTAAAACATTTAATCCAATTATTTCAGACACTGAGAGGTTTAGAATCATCAAATCTTGTAAATTGATGCATCTTGGGACCTTAAAACATATTTATGAAAAAGTAGGTCACTGTTTTCACCTATTTTGATTACCTTCAGACCTTGGATTATCAAACTTGGTCAAAAGATGCATCTTGTGACTTTGAAAAATTTCGACCAAAATATAGATCACAGGGACCAAGTTTCAACATTTTATGGCTATATTTTAGTATCATAGGTATTTATTGGCTTAGAATCATCAAACTTTGTGAGTTGATGCGTTTTGGGTTTTCGGAGAGTGACGACCAAAAAGTAGGTCACGGTGACCTACTTTCGACATTTTATGGCTTTATTTAAGTATCTTAGGTATTTATTGGCTTAGAATCATCAAACTTTGTGAGTTGATGCGTCTTGGGTTTTCGGAGAGTGACAACCAAAAAGTAGGTCATGGTTACCTACTTTTGACATTTTATAGTTTTATTTAAGTATCTACAGTACTAATTGTCTTAGAATCATCAAACTTTGTCAGTTGATGCATCTTGGGTTCGGAGAATGATGTCCAAAAAGTAGGTCACTGTGACCTACTTTCGACATTTTATGGCTTTATTGAAGTATCTTAGGTATTTATTGGCTTAGAATCATCAAACTTTGTGAGTTGATGCGTGTTAGGTTTTTGGAGAGTGACGACCAAAAAGTAGATCACGGTGACCTACTTTTAACATTTTATGGCTTTATTTAAGTATCTATGGTACTTATTGGCTTAGAATCATCAAACTTTGTCAGTTGATGCATCTTGGGTTTTCGGAGAATGATGTCCAAAAAGTAGGTCATGGTGACCTAATTTTTGACATTTTATGGCTTTATTGAAGCATCTTAGGTATTTATTGGCTTAGAATCATCAAACTTTGTGAGTTGATGCGTCTTAGGTTTTTGGAGAGTGACGACCAAAAAGTAGGTCACTGTGACCTACTTTTAACATTTTATGGCTTTATTTAAGTATCTATGGTACTTATTGGCTTAGAATCATCAAACTTTGTCAGTTGCTGCATCTTGGGTTTCGGAGAATGATGTCCAAAAAGTAGGTCATGGTGACCTAATTTTTGACATTTTATGGCTTTATTTAAGTATCTATGGTACTAACTGGTTTAAATTTGTTTGTTGATGCATCTTTGGTTTTGAGAGAATGTTGACCAAAAAGAAGGTCATGGTGACCTACTTTTGAATATCTCAAGGACTTATTGGCTTAGAGTCATCAGACTTTGTTGATGTATCTTGGGTTTTCAAAGAATGTAGACAAAAAACGTAGGTCATGGTGACCTACTTTTAAATATCTCAAATACTTATAGGCTTAGAGTCTTCAATCTTTGTTTATTAATGCATCTTGAGTCCTCAGAAAACTTCAATCTTAATATAGGTCACTGTGATGTACTTATGGTTTTTTATAGCTTTATTATTAAAAATATTTTCAGTCCTAACTGGCTAAGAATCATCAAATTTTGTCAGTTGATGCATCTTGGGTCTTAGGATACTTAGATTTAGAGGCTTGAAATAGAATTATAGATTGTATAATTTATCAAAAGAGCAAATTCAAGGCCCTTGGGCCTCTTGTAATAATTCTTTAAAAACTTTGATTACTTTTTAGCTGAAATGAGCAGTAGGCTCGAAGGAGCTTTTTTGATAACAATTTTTAGCTCACCTGAGCCGAAGGCTCAAGTGAGCTTTTCTGATCACATTTTGTCCGTCGTCCGTCCATCTGTCCGTCTGTCCATCCATCTGTAAACTTTTCACATTTTTGACTTCTTCTCAAGAACCACCGGACCAATTTTGACCAAACTTGGTACAAAGCATCCTTGGGTAAAGGGGAATTTAAATTATTAAAATAAAGGGCCAAGTCCCCTAACAAGGGGAGATAATTAAGAAAAGACAAAAATGGGGTGGGTCATTAAAAAATCTTCTTTCCACTGGGCCAGAAAAGCTGACACTTATGTAGAAGCATCCTGGGGTAGTGTAGATTCTAAATTGTTCAAATCATGACCCCCACGGATAGGGTGGGACCACAATAGGGAATCAAAATTTTACATTGTAATATGTAAGAAAAATCTTTGAAAATCTTCTTCTCAGAACCACTGTACCAGAAAAGACTCTATATTCTTTGAATCATGACCCCTGTGGGAAGGGCGGGGCCACAATGGGAAATCAAAGTTTTACATAGAAGTTATAGGAAAAATCTTTGAAAATCCTCTTCTCAAGAACCACTGTGCCAGAAAAGCTGAAACTTATGTGGAAACATCCTGGGGTAGTGTAGATTTGTTTAAATCATGACCCCCGGGGGTAAGGCGGGGCCACAATGGGGAATCAAAGTTTTTCATAGAAATATATAGGAAAAATCCTCTTCTAAAGAATCACTGTGCCAGAAATGCTGAAACTTATGTGGAAGCATCCTGGGGTAGTGTAGATTCTAAATTGTTCAAATTATGTCCCCCGGGGGAAAGGCAGTGCCACAATGGGGAATCAATTTTTACAAAGAAATATATAGGAACAATTTTTGAAAATCTTCTTCTCAAGAACCACAAGGCCAGAAAAGCTGAAACTTATGTGCACACGGAAGCATCCTGGGGTAGTTGTAGATTTCAAATTGTCTTAATTATGATGAGTGGGGTAGGGTGGGGTTGCATTATGTATTACAAGGGGGAAATCTGGTAAAGAACAGAATTGTCAAAGCTTCTCAGGTGAGCGATGTGGCCCATGGGCCTCTTGTTTCCGTTGTCCATCTGTTCTTCTGTAAACCTGTCACATTTTCAACTTGTTCTCAAGAACCGAGTCAATTTAAACCAAACTTGGTACAAAGCATTCTTGTGTGAAGAGTTTAGATAGATAAAATAAAAGGCCAAGTCTCCACACAAGGGGATTTAATCAAGAAAAGACAAAAATAGGATGGGAACCAGGATGAGGCATAATTCATATGCAATAGAAACTTATTATATAAAAATGCATTGATAACTGTTAAAATATAATATTTTTGTGTTTTATGTTTTATAGATGACTAAGAGAAAGAGAATTTGTGACAGACAAGAGAGAGAGAGAGAGAGAGAGAGAGAGAGAGAGAGAGAGAGAGAGAGAGAGAGAGAGAAAGGCAGAAAAGACGAAAGCAGCCTCAGTCCTCTAAGCCACCAGATGCTCTGATGACAGACTCTGCTGTTCCAGACGGGACAGTAGACGGAGCTGTAACAGCTCCTCCCGGTAGTCTTCCGGGGCAAGGCTCCATGGGGTTGCCGCCTTTTAATTTGAGGAAAAACCCCTGGCCAGGGTGCAGGCCTCACCTAGTGTGAAAATGCACTCAAATGCCCCGAGGTTGTCATCTCCTCGGGGAAGTCGTCTGGAAGCCCAAAACGGGGCACTGGCACCGACCCCTGACTCCCCAGGGTGGGTTTGTACTCCAGTGAGAGTACCTGGGCACGATGATGGCTTTAAGCCTAGCCCAGCAGGTCAGACGCAGCTGGATACCTCTAGGATGGAGGAGACCAGCAGTACACTAGAAAAAGATGTGGGCTATAAAGACAGTATTCAAACAGTATTCTCACGTGTCTTAAATGAAAGCTATAAAGACAGTACTCAAACAGTATCTTCATGTGTCGTAGATGGCAATTTCACTGGTTACAATGAGAAACAAGAGAACAAGAATGTCAATGTTGATGAGAGAAAAGAGAAAAAGAATAAAGATATCTCACATGGAAATCAAGAAAACAGGAAATCTGAGAATATGTATGAAAGAAAAGAGAACAACAATATTAAGAACATATATGATAAAGAGAAAGAGAACCTTGCAAATGTTAATGAAAGAGGAGAAAATGCAACTTTAGAGTGTGTTCAGGGATCATTTCATCAGGGAGATCCAATATTTGGAGATAATGCAGGAACCCAGTGTGTTGCTAATTGTTTAGCAGGGTTATCATATCACAAAGTGAAGGACAGTAAGTACTGAAATACAGTGGACATGAATAAAATTTTAGTGACTGGTGATGAATTGTATACTTATTTGCAGAGAAACTCATCAGTATGTAATAGGTCCTTACTTGTAGAAGAATTACCTCAGTTCTATGAATGCTTTGACGGTTCTTTTGAATTTAGAGCAATTGAGACATTATCAAGTGTTATTTTATCAAACAGTGAATTCAACTTTGCTGAGTTTGGTGCATTTTCACTAGATGAAGCATTACATATTGCTCTTGCTGAAACTGATGGATGTTTCGTATGCTTTGGGGGAAATACATTATTAATTGGCAAATCAGAAAATGGTTTTTTCACTTATGATTCCCATTCTAGGTCTTCAAAGGGACTGTTAAGTGTGAACGGGAAGAGTACAAGAGTTCTTTTTGGAGACGTAGCACAGTTGTGTTTTCATCTTCGGTCACTTGCTATTTCTATGGGGTATTCAAAGGACGTTGAATGCAATGTTACCGGGGTACATTGTAAAGTAGAAAATATCATAAATGCTACATATAATGTAACACAAACACTGGACCATGTTGTTGAGGAAGCGGTTCAAAATCCATGCACATCACAAGAGATTAGTTCTGACAGCGAAACTTCCGAATTGGATTTTGTTTCATTGGAACAGGAACATTTCTATTTTAACCCTCTTGACTTTGACATGAAAAGGGAAATATGTCAAGAATTGAATATTCCTTTCATATGCAGTGGTCATGGAATTGAATGTCATTCATCTGGAAAGATACTTGAGGCACCAAGTTCTCAGCATGAAGTTTATGAAGATGGCAATTGTTTTTTCAGAGCTATATCTTTCATTTTGACAAATTCAGAGGACTATCATTACATCATTCGCAGTGCAGTTTGTAAGCACTTGCTTGAAAATGAAGCTGCATTCAAACCATTCCTAAGAACTGGTGAAAATACTGTAGAGGATCATCTATCTGTGTCCTCAATGGTACAAAATGGAAAGTGGGCAACTGAGTTAGAGATCTTAGCTGTATGTCATATGATAAATGGTGATATTTACACATACACTAGAAATCATTGGTTGAAATATTCCTTTGAGAAAGAAAGTCCACTTATGAAAAGGAGAAATGGAGCAATGTACTTGAATCATCAAAGCCAGAACCATTATAATGTAGTACTTGATGTACATGGAGAGAATGTTGAAATGACAATGGAAACTTTATGTGAAAACAAAACATTTGATTTAAATTATATGAAAAAGAAAAAGAATCGTCAAAGAATGCAAGCAGCAAGACAAGATTCTGCAAGTGTTATGCAAAGACGAAATATTGTAGAAAACAGTAAGCAAGCAAAGAGAAGAAAATATCGAGAAGATATTAGATACCGCAATAAGAAATTGAAAGCTGCACATGTAAAAATACAAGGAGGACGACGAATTTCAATCTACTATTAAAGTAAAGAATCGAGAAAGATACAGAAAGGATGCTTTGTACCGAAGCAAAACACAACTCAAGAGTAAAACCAGATATGCAGAAAATGAAGAAAGCAGGAGAAAATCAAAGGATGCTAGCATGAAAAAGTATTCTCTAAATGAAGCACATAAAGAAAATGTAAAACAAAGAAGTGCAAAAAAATACAGAGATAACAAAGAATACCGAGAAGCTGTCAAAAAAAGGGGAAAAGAGAAATACAAAAACGATGAAATGTACAGAGAAAACATGAAACAAAGAAATCTTGAAAAGTTCAAAACTGATGAGAAATACAGAAGACAAATTGATTGTACTCGGAGATACTGGACAAATAAACACTTCAGAAAGAAAATTCTTAGTACAAAAGCAAAAAGGTACAGCACAGATGACAGATTCAGGTCAACTATTAAGGCCTGTAGTAAGAAACAGTATAGTTCTAATCCTGATCTTAAAGTATCGAAGAGAAAATCAATTCAACATAATAGGGAAACCAAACTGGAAAAGCTAAAACATGAGAAAAGAGTTATAGAACAGTTAAAAGAGAAGTCTCTAGAGGGCATCGATTATGTGTGCTGCTGCTGTCATCGATTGCTATTTGTAAATCAAGTACAGAAATGTGACCGGCAGATTTATTGCAAAGACGAACTTGTGAGAAATGTATCGAACTTGTGCTTACAAGAGATATATTTTCATAAATGTACAGATTCCTGTCCAGATGGTTGTACCAGGTCAACATTGTGGATATGCTATACATGCCATAGAAAAATTATGAGTGGAAATATTCCTGCAGAGGCAGTTTACAATGAAATGCATCTTGAAGACATACCAGAGGAATTGACAAATATGAATAATTTAGAGCAACATCTAATTGCTTTGCACATACCTTTCATGAAGGTAATGGCTCTTCCCCATGGTGGTCAAAGAAATATTCATGGCCCGGTTGTGTGTGTACCCTCAGATTTGAAGAAAACTTCAAGTTTACCATTGAATCAAGGCGAAAACTTACTATTGCGGGTAAAATTGAAAAGAAAACTAAGCTACAAGGGTTACTTTGAGTACCAATTTGTTAATCCAAACCAGATATCAGCCGCTCTAAATTATTTGAAGCTTAACAATCAGTGGTACAAAGATGTCAAAATAAATGAAAACTGGACAGAAAACACAAATGAAAATGAGGAAACATCAGAGGAAATTCATGACATGGCAACTACGAATGACAATGATGAACCCCAACAGATTGCAATTGATACATGCCTTCAACCGGTGGATATTGCCCAGGAGGTCTTGGACCATTATTTCGATGATATTTACAATATTGCACCTGGAGAAGGCAAGAATCAAGTGCGAATGCTACAGGACCCAGGAAATGAAGCCAAAGCGTTTCCCTGTCATTTTCCTAGTGGGAAATTTACTTGGAATGAAGAAAGAGGAACAAGGATAACACTGTCTAGATATTTCAATAATAGGCTGATGAATGCAGATGACAGGTTTGCAAAGGACAGCAATTACATATTCTTCAGTCAGTTTATGTCAGAATTGAATCAAGTCATAGAGAAGACACAAATTTCAGTCAGAAAATCTTTTTCAAAAATGGGAAATGAGAAAATAGTTACTTCTAGCATGGTGCAAGATCCAGAAATTCTGTCAAGATTGTTAAAAAATGATGAAGCAGTAAGGTTTATGCAGCCAATTCGTGGAACACCAGCATATTGGTCATCAGCTCAAAAGGATCTTTTTGCAATGCTCCGCCAGTTAGGAATACCAACCTGGTTTTGTTCTTTCTCTGCTGCAGAACATAGATGGAATGATGCAGTAAGAACGATATTGAGACAACAAAATGATGAAAGAGATCCATGTATGTTGGATTGGTCTGAAAAGAATGAGACTTTAAGGAAGAATCCAGTGACTGTTGCTAGGATGTTTGAGCACAGGTTTCATGTCTTTCAAGGAGATGTTATATTTTCTCCATCTGAGCCAATTGGGAAAGTTGTAGATTTCTTCCAGAGAGTTGAATTTCAGCAGAGAGGATCTCCTCATATGCATTGTCTCTACTGGGTTGAAAATGCACCTAAACTTGAAGAACATGGAAAAGAAGCTGTGTGTGATTTCATTGATAGATATGTGACTTGTGAACTGCCGTCTGAGACTGAAGATCCAGAGTTGAGAAATATTGTCCTTGCAGTACAACAACACAGTAGAAAACATTCAAAATCATGTAGAAAGAAAGGGACAGAATGCAGGTTTAATTTTCCGAGACCTCCCTCTTCACGCACATTTATCAGTTCTCCTTGTGATGATGACGATACAAAGGATGATGACGTGACAACAAACACTAAATTAATGAAATCGGGCGCAAAAGACATTTTATTGCGTGTCTGGGAAGAAGTGCAAAACAATTCAAATGCATGTAGAAGTACTGAAGACATTTTTAACGACCTATCCTTGTCTCAAGATCAGTACGAAGAAGCACATAACATGTTATCAAAGTCAAAATCCATTATTCTTCAAAGAAATCCCGGTGCACTATGGATAAATCAATACAATCCTTGCCTTTTGAAATGTTGGGATGCAAACATGGATATTCAATTTGTACTGGACCCATTTAGCTGCATTGTGTACATAATTTCCTACATTTCAAAGTCTGAGAGGGAAATGGGGATGCTATTAAAGCAAACAAAAATAGAAGCAGAAGAAGGAAATCTTGATGCCGGAGACACTATGAAGAAAATAGGGTCAGCATATCTACACCACAGAGAAGTAAGCGCACAAGAGGCTGTGTACAGAGTTTGCAACTTAAAGATGAAAGAGTGCTCTAGGAAAGTCGTATTTGTGCCAGTGGGCAAAACCCAACCCGTTTGAGCAAACCACTTTTTCAATTAAAAAGACAAAAAGCTGAAATTAATGAAATTGAAGAAGATGATGAAGACGAGCTCTGGATGACAAATATAATAGAAAGATATGAAAATTGTCCTAACAAAGCATTGTTTCATAGAATGTGATTGGCAGAATTTTGCTCTGTATACAGAGTGTTAGCTAAATCCCAGATTCCAAAAAATGATAATGAAAACGTATTTGAATTACAAAATTCAAAGGGATTTATTCAAAAAAGGACACGAACAAAGCCAGCTGTGATAAGGTATGCAAAGTTCAGCCCTGAAAAAATGCCTGAGAAGTATTACCGATCCCTTTTACAACTATTTCTTCCACATTGGAATGAAGCGCAGCTGAAACCACCGGGATTTGACTTGTACCAGGCATTTTACGAAACTGGTCACATAAAATTAAGAGGAAAACAAGATATTCAGTCCGTGAAAACAATAGTTGACATAAACCATGCAACGTATGCAGAAAATGAAAATGTGATCTCAGAAGCTCAAGAAATGTTTGAAATCATTGGAGAACCTGAAGATGCATGGGCTAGCTTGTTTCCAGAGTCGGAAGCAATGAGACAGGAATGCTCTGAAGAGAAAAATAAACTACACATCTTGGATGAAAACCTTTTCGAAGCTATTCCTGATATACAGAGTGAGACAAATTCTGACGTGCTCTTTCAAATACAGCAGAATAATCGTTCTAAAAATGATATATTACCTGTTTTGCAAAGCCTGAATAACACACAGAAGGAGGTATTTTACCATGTTCGTGACTGGTGTTTAGAGAAAATCGCTGGAGAAAAGCCTGACCCTTTGCATGTATTTATAACAGGAGGAGCAGGAACTGGAAAGAGTCATGTCATCAAGGCTATAGAGTATGAGGCAACACGACTATTTTCTCGAAATATGTCCTCACCTGATAGTTTAGCGGTTCTCCTTACAGCTTTCACGGGAACAGCTGCATTCAACATAGGTGGAAATACTATTCATCACGTGTTTTCCCTGACCAAGTTTTTACCGTTGCCGTATCAGCCATTGAAAGAGCAGAGTCTAAGTGAAATAAGGGTACATCTTCGAGACTTGCAGATTCTTGTTATAGATGAAGTGTCAATGGTGTACAAAAGACTACTTTATTACATTCATGAAAGACTCGTACAAATAAAGAAATGCAAGGAACCATTTGGTGGCATTAGCGTCATTGCAGTAGGTGACTTTTATCAACTCCCACCCGTAAAGCAGCGGAAAGATGAAAGGTTGTTTAAAGAAAATTCTTCATATCCCATTGACTACTGGCGAGACTTTTTCAAAGTTGTTGAACTAGATGAAATCATGAGACAGCGACAAGATATACCATTTGCGACAGCGTTAAATTCTCTTCGAATTCGAGAAGCCGATCAACCTTTAGCAAGGGAAGCACAAGAAATGATACAAGATTGTATAAGAGATGGACCAGAGGATGTTCTTCATGTTTATCCAACAAATGAAGAAGTTAACAATTATAACCTCTCTATGCTAAGAAAAACTTGTGAAGATTTGGTCGAAATTGACGCAAAGGATTTCCAGAAAAATGCAGCAACCGGAAAGTTGACTTTAAGAGAGAAACCACTCAAAAGCTCGAAAAAAGATAATCTCTGCAGTGCTTTACTAATGGCTGTTGATGCAAAGGTTATGCTAACAAGAAATTGCAATGTAGAGGACGGACTGGTAAATGGAGTTATCGGATACATTTCTCTCTTCCAACATGAAAAGAACTCCTCAAATATTACGGCTATAGGTGTAATCTTTGACAACAAAAATGTGGGCAAGAAATCGAGCAAAAGAACAGAAAAAGGAAACGTTGTGTTTGTTCAGAGAGTTCAGGAAGAGATAATTGAAAAGAAATCGAAGACAGTAGTACGACATCAGTTCCCTTTACGGTTATCCTGGGCATGCACAGCTCATAAAGTACAAGGAATGACGGTCGAAAAGGTTGTGGTTAATTTAGACCAGATGTTCTCACCAGGACAAGCGTATGTTGCTTTGACAAGAGTTACGTCGAAAAATGGGTTGTTCATTGAAACAAATAACAACCAAGCACTTCAAAAGAAAGTGTATGCTGATTCAGAAGTAAAGGTAGCACTAGCTATAATGCCAAGATTAGAACTCTCAAAAATTTCAACAAAACCATCAGGCTCCACCATAATTATTCTTCACAATGTCCAAAGTCTACATGGTCATTTTTCAGATTTTCAACTAGATATCCGATTCAGGGTAGCAGAAATAATTTGTCTGACTGAAACATGGTTAAGGTCTGATCAATGCACGACTGAATTCGAAGTAGAAGGGTTTAGTTTTCATCAAACACCCAGAGGTGATGTTTATTATGAGAGTAATGACCAAGTACGGAAATTGCGAGTATCAAAGGGTGGGGGCGTGGCACTGTACACCAAACAAAGTCAAGATAAGAAAATAGTCAGTCAATTGCCAGAAAAAAATGTAGAAGGTATGGCAGTTAACTTAGTTGAAAAGGAATTAATTGTTGTTACTTTGTATCGCCCAAGCACAATCAGTATGTCTTACTTTCTGGAACGACTCCAAAGGCTAGTAGAATATTACAGATCCTCTTTCAGCAAAGTCATTTTTATTGGGGATTTCAACGAAGATGCAAAATCAGTAGGCCCAATCCAGACATTATTGACCAAAAATGGCTTCAAACAAATGGTCACCTTTTACACAACAGAAAGTGAATCCATTCTGGATATGTTTACATATTTGGATCTTTACATGTGAAAGTGGAGAGATTGTCAACATATTACAGCTACCATGATGCCGTAATCATGACCATTACTACAGACTAACATTCATTTTCTTGAAGAAAGCTGGAGAAGTCAAATTTCATTGAAATGAAGGTCGAAATCAGATTTATACAGCAGGCCTCCCTTTGAGCAAAAACCATGAATTTCATTGAAGAGGTCACTTCTGGTGTAGATATATCGTTGAATGTTTTAGAGTCATTTTGTCTACGATTTCTCTCAACAAAGGCTCTAGATAGGAAATTAAAACTTTCAGTAACAGTAAAGCAATGTTTGATGAACTTTATGAATTAGTTTTATTTTTTTCCGAAAGGGATACAAGTCACCGCTCGCTATAGAACAAAATAGCCGTATCCAGAATCTCAAAATATTCAACAGTTTTCTTATTATTTCTCTTTATCTGTAAATAATTTGTAAATACATTTAGAACAAAAATTGTGTAATGCTGAACTAGCTATCGTGGGATTTCAGCAAAAAAAGAAAGGCCCCTTCAATAAGAGGTAGAGAAAGGCAAATACGTTTTTCTCACTTTGTAAAAAAGCTATTAGGAATTCGTAATATAAATCATACCTCCTGAAGTCTAAGCCCCACGTCCCCGTCGTATGAGGTGGAAACGGGTAATGCCGGCAAACGGGGCTACGCCTGCAGTATGGGAACAGTCACCCCTTCTGTGGTAAACACTAACTGCAGAAACAGACACACAGAGATACGTATTAACTGGTTCTTTAGTGGATAACATCGGAAACGAATGCATAACGTCTTGTCAGGAAAATCAGAACTACTAGACTGTTGCAAGAGAAAAAGTAGTGGGCCAAAAACAACATGACGAAAAACATCAGAGAAAGGAAGGAACGAAGTTGAAAGAAAAGCAAAGATTCGTCCGTCGGCGTCATTTCCGGTCGAACCGGAAGTAGCAAGAGTTGCATACTTTTGCAATAATCAACATAAACGTGGAAGTTTAAAATATTGGAAACATCATTACTCTTTCTTTAAAAGAAAATTTACTAGTATTTACTTCTGGTCAAACAGGACGGAAGACCTACTCGTTGCTTTGCAACGAGCTTTGCTCTAGTTAAGGTCTTCCGTCTTTAGCGGAAGACCTTCTTGTTATTCGTTTGTTTCTTTTCCACTGTTTTTTAAGGTCTTTCGTCTTCAGCGGAAGACCTTCTTGTTATTCTTAGGTTTCTTTTTCACTTTTATTAAGGTCTTCCGTCTTCAGTGGAAGACGTTCTTGTTATTCTTAGGTTTCTTTTTCACTTTTATTAACGGAAGACATTCGTATTATTCTGTTGTTTCTTTTCAACTTTTCTTATTATTATTCTTACCGATTTTGTGCAGGTAATTTCTCGTAAATGCGTCGATGGATTTTCATGAAACTTTCAGCATTGATGACAAATTATATGAACTTAAGGCGTTATTTTTAATTTGATGACGTCACTTCCGGTTCGGAGTTTTCTGCGATTTAGTGAGTTTTAGAGGGTCATTTTGTCCGGCAGTTTTCTCAATAATGGCTCAAGATAGAAACATGAAACTTTCAGGTATGATAGTCCGAAGTCTATAGATATGTATAAGGTATTTCATTTTTATCGGAAGTGCCGCACGTCAGCGCTCGCTATGGTCCGAAAATAGTCGTATCGCGAATTTGAATTTTTTTAACACTTTTTTAACGATATCTTTTTACCTGGAAATATTTTGTTAAAACATGTAGAACAAAAGAAGTGTAAAATTCCAAGATCTTTCAAATGATATCTCGAAAAAAAGGGCTGGCCCCTAAAATTAAGGGCTTAGAGGGTCCGAAAGTTTTTTCGTTATATCTCAAAACATATTGAGAATTTGTAATACGTCAAAGAAGCAAAGATGTTCAAAATGTCAAGCTTAATCTACTGGGATCGTCAAGATACGTCCGGCGTCGTCACTTCCGTCCAAACCGGAAGTAGTCGGAAAACGCGTATTTTTGCCGTTTTTGACAGTTTTGGGTAACTTATGTCTCTGAGAGCATAAAAATTTATTTTCGGTCCGTCGTCGTCACTTCCGGTTAAACCGGAAGTAGCAAAAAATTGCTTATTTTTGTATTTATAAACATAGCTTTAGAGAATTCACACCATTTTTAGGCGTTATTTCTCATTTTTGTTAAAAATGAAAGCTACTTCCCGTCAAACATGACGGAAGACCTACTCGTTGCTTTGCAACGAGG